CTATACCTGCTTGTTTCTTTTTGCTAATCCCCTTTTTACTGCGTCTTTTACCCTAAGATAAAAATCTGTCCTTGAAGTTGAGGTGTGTTTATTGAATGCAGAATAAAGGATGGACTCTGTTTATTAATTAATTTGATATGTCATTCTCTTTTTATTGGAAAAATGAGACCATTAATACTGAGAGTAATTATTAAACAATGCTTATTAATTCTTGTTCCTTTGTTATTGTAGTGTTTTGTTTTGTTTTTTTTAGACCTCTTTTGGCTAACTGAGGTCAGTTATTCCTTGTGACATTTTGGGTGTGCTTAATCTTCTTTCAGACTGAAATATCTCCTAGTATCCTCTGTCAAGCAGTCTGAGGTCTCATAAATTCCTCAAAATTGTTTTTATTATGGAAAGTTTCCCTTTCTCTTCCTATAACAATTGATAGTTTTGTTGGGTATAGCAATATGGTCTGACACCTGTGGTCTTAAAGAATTTGTAAAACGTCAGTCCAGGCCCTTCTGACTTTTAAAGTCTCCATTGAAAAGTCAGGTGTTATTTTGAAGGACTTCTCTTTGTATGTCATTTAGTCTTCCTCTTTTTTACAGATTTCAATATCTGTTCATTGTTCTGTATTTTTATTGTTATTTGTTCTGTGGTATTCTTTTCTGGTCCTATTTAGAGTTCAGCATGCTTCTTGCACTTTGATAGGGCATCTCTTTCTTTAGACTCACAATGTTTTCTTCAATGGTTTCTTGAAATATTTTCAGTGACTTTGATCTGGGTTTCTCCTTTATTTATATCTATTATTTGTAGGTCTAGTCTTTGTTATAGAGTTTCAAAGTACCTGGATGCTCTGTTCCTAAATTTGTTGTTCCTAACAATGTTGATTTAAAATTTTCATTTATTGATTGATCCGTTTTTTTTATCCGTTTTTTTTTTCTACCTTATCTCTGTGACCTGACATTCTGTCTTCCACTTAATTCAATCTATTGCTTTCCTCTTGGTTTTCCTTTTTTAAATTCCTGAGGTTTTCACTCATTTCCAATTTTACTTCAGTCTAGCTTTCCTTCAGAGAATCTATCTTTTTATTGAACTCCATTTTCATATATTGAAGTGTTTTTGTTATTTCTTTCAACTCTGTGGCTTATTTGTTTCATTGAGGCATTTATTCACATACTTTTTGAGCTCCTTGTGTATATTTATAATTGCTATTTTGAAATTAGTGTTTTGTGCACCAGCTAAGCTGCTTTTCTTTTTTCAGGAAAACTAGCATGGCAGTGCTTGTTTCTGGAAGAAACACTTTATTTCTATTGTTCCTGTTGTTTTTATTGTTCCTGTTGTTTTTGGTTTTGTGGTGTGATCCAGGCTTCTGTCGTCAGGCCATTTGTGGTATTTTTTGATATGGACATCTATTCTCACATTTGTGTATGTGTGTGTGTGTGTGTGTGTGTGTGTGTGTGTGTGTCTGTGTGTGTGTGTGTCTGTGTGTGTGTATGTAGTTGTTTATGTCTTTGGTTGGTATTATTCCAACCTGTAAGTTTTTGGATCAGCAGAATGTTGCTTATTTTTCAATCCTTGGGCCACTGGGGTTGTGGATGGGGCTTCCCATGGTCCCAGGTTGGCACATGGATAAGATGGTGGACAAGCAAGGGTGAGGGACTAGCTCTAGGTGTCTCTAACTAGGCTGGGCCCTGCAGGGAAGAGGGGCAGGGTAGTGGCTGTTAGGCAAGCAGGCCAGTGGACTGGCTCTGGGAGTTCCTACTGGAATTCTAATGCAGACTGCAGGTTCAGACTCAGCAAAGACCCAGGTCTGTGTGGTAAAT